AATAAAGCAGTGACATTTAAAAAGGATCTCAAGTTTATTTAAAAACATTACTTAAATGAATAAACGAGCACCACAAACAAATAATAATCATTCATTGTCATAACCAATTTTCAACAATTCTTTCGGTAGGTGACATACTTTGTGGTAATCTCCACCCCCCTTTAGGTCACCTTTGATTCTCAAGCATCCTTACCGGGAACCTCTTGAAAATGGATGAGCATCCTTANCAACAATTCTTTCGGTAGGTGGCATACTTTGTGGTAACCTCCACCCCCTTTTAGGTCACCTTTGATTCTCAAGCATCCTTACCGGGAACCTCTTGAGAATGGATGAACATCCTTACATGGAACATTTCATCAATCACTACATTGTTTCACAAGCATCCTTACCGGGAACCTCTTGGGAAGGGGTGAGCATCCTTACAAGGAACCTCTCACCAATCACTACATTATTTTTCAAGCATCCTTACCGGAAACCTCTTGGGAAGGGGTGAGCATCCTTACAAGGAACCTCTCACTCATGTGCATCACAAACAACCCAACCAAGCATACAATTCCAACATTTATCTCAATTTACAAGCATCTATCCAAAATCTCCAAAATATATCATGTAACAATTCCACAACCCACTAAGAAATACATGAGATCACAATAACATCATTTTTCTACCCAATACAAAGCATTAAGGTTTCGAAATCCATAATAAAGAAAGCATTTAGGAAGGAAATATATCACTTTCCAAAAATTAGGGTTTTAAAACTAAAGAGGCGATTTCATGGGTATTAAACCCTACTTTGTTCAAAACATGTAATCCTTGTAAAAAGCCTAAGAGAGGATGATTATATAGCATATATATACCATTGATAGCCAAAACATACATATATAAATACCCTAACTTCAATGTAAGTGAATGAGAGAAAATCCCTACCTTGAATCCTTAATTTGTAGGAAGAACTTGAACTTTGATCTTGAATCTACCCTTAAATCTCTTATTTTTCCCTTCCTTTCTTCCTCTCTAATGCTCTCTAGGGTTCCAAGCGGTGTGGGGTGAGAGTGGAGTGAAAGAAGTGAGGGAAAATGAGATGAAAATGGGGTTTAAAACACCTCAGCCTCGAAATTCACTGTTCACAGTCTGTTTTGGTTTTTTCCAAAATTACGGTTTTGCCATTAAAAATCTCCATTTTGATCCATATGACTATCCTAAGGTTTTTCGACGTTTTGGAATCATTTTTAATGTTATTTTAACCTAAAAATATTTATTTTTATGATTTATCTCAAAATCAAAGTCAACGTACACCCGAAACACTAAAGTTTCTATTTTACCCATCTGAACCGGCTATTAATGAAGTTTTGCGTTGTTTACAAATAAAAGGTGATAAAGGGTTCTTCTTAAATTCTTTTATACTTATTTGAAGCCTAAATGTAATCATTATTCTTATATTTTGATTTATGATGCAAATGGAGACGTTAAATGCAAAATGAAGCTAATTGGACTGTTTTGACATCGGTTCGTTATATGGGCATAACTCTCTCATCCGAGCTTCGATTGAGATGATTCAAGATGATATGGAATGATAAGAAAGAGCTCGAAAACTTTCATGTTTTGAGTTTTGAGAGATATTAACTACATCAAGGTCTAAATTGGGCTTGAAGTTGCAGCCAGTGCATTGTTCAAGCTAATTGGGCTGTTTTTACATCACTTCGTTATCTGGGCATAACTCTCTCATCCAAGCTCTGATTGAGATGATTGAAGATGATATGGAATGCTAAGAAATATCTCTACAACTTTTATGTTTTGGAGTTTGAGAGATATGAACTGAAACAAGGTTGAAATCGCGCTTGAAGTTGCTGCAGTACACTGTTCACATGCACTGTTCACGTCTTGTTTCATCCCTTTTCTATTTCCAATCCATTCCTAAGCCAACCAAATCCATCTCAAACCTCTCTAACACATATTTCTACACCAAACCTATTTAATAAAAGTTCTAGGACCTAAAATTTCATGTTTTCACTTATTAAAACCAAATTTCAACTATTATTTCTACTAATATTTTAAATCTCTACTTTTTCAGTCTACCAAATTCAAACACACATCACTACACATATTCACATTTTTACCACAATTATTTACTATATATCTATGTACATATATACAAGAAAATTCGGGGTGTTACACTTATCCCGTTGCTTGATTGGTCTTTGGTGGAATCGATGGGCAGTTATTTTTGAGGTGTCCGAACCCTCCACATGCGAAGCATTGACGTGGGTCAGTGTCTGCTCTCTTCCGAGTAACCCTAGCTCCTCGAACGAATTGATTCCTTTGCCCCAAAGCTTGGTTAGGTCAGCGGTACGGAGCTGCCCTTTGTGTAACTCCACTGCTGCTAGCACTAGTCCTGATCAGACCTCTCCTCACGAAGTTCTGTTGTCACTGGTTATTGTTTCTATTCTAGCATTGTACCAGAGTGGTTAGCTCCCTTAGGCATTGATAGATGCCATTCAGGGCATCTAGAGGTGGTGGTGGTGGGTTTGCTTGGCCACCACGTCCCCGTCCACATCCACGTTCACCCACCATCCTGCACATCAATTCACAATTTAGTTTCATTGATGTACAGGGCATCGTAACTATCACTTTTATCTAAAGCATAAGGCTTGTACAAAATTTTAAATCCATAATTTTATTCAACCTAGTCCTATCTCTCTAAGGTAATCCATAACCTACAGCTCCCATATAAGACCTAAAGTCTAGGCTCTGATACCAAAACTTTATAACTCCCCAAAATCCACCTTGGACGGCATTACAATCTAAATCCATTCACATCATGAGAGCAACTAATAAAATCCATCAATAAAGAAATTTCATTCATCAAATGTAATATTTACAACATCATTCCCAAAAGAATATACCAAAACATGACTATTATATCCCAAAAGAATTACATTTAAACTTGCAGCGGAATATAACAAAAGATTAGTCTTTACATAATCTCAAAAGAAATTTCCTAGTCTAGCATCTAGGAGAGTATAACCCTAAGCATCCACCTCGGGATCCACGTGCCCGTCTAGTGGAGCTTCCCAATGCACCTGCTCATCGACTCTGAGCTCCACATCTAACACGTAATCTGAAAAATATATTGTTTGTAGGGGGTGAGCAATAAGCTCTGTAGCAACATTCCTCCCAAACTTAAACAAGGTTTGAAAAACGTATAAAGCAAGTCGGCCTCATTTTATAAATATCATATATCAATTTTTGAAATAAAATCGGGACATTTCAACGGATCACAAGTTTACGTAATAGCAATAATTTAAATGAACAGTAAAATGAAATTTCCAACAATAAACCATTTCCAACCATAAACCGTTTTTCACAAGTCCTTGTAGAGTCTCATACCTCCACAAGCTCTTGTAGAAAACCTTTTCTAGTACAATAAATCATAAACCCACAACTTGTATTCGTATCACAGGTATGATACATGATTCGCATGAATAAACACATCGAGAATATCTTGGTCCACACACACACACCTAAATCCTCACAAGGATATTCAACCTTTAGGAAGGGCGTATACCAACTCATGACAGTGACGAATCCAACCCAGGAATAGTATACTAACCCTCAACCTCGATAACGTGAGCGAATAGTGGTTTGGTCATCGAAAAGCACCAACCCCACTACGAGTGATAGGGAACCTTTAAACTCACACGGAATAAGAAACATATCTAACCCACTCTACGATATCCGGTAAACGACCACCCATGGTCATCCAAATATCCACAAGAGATACAATATCCAATCAATTTCTCCAATCACAAATACATTCAACAATCCCCAAATTTCACAAGTAGTATCCCAATAGAATAATTTAAGAAAATATGCAAGAGATCATCGCAAATAACATTTTATTACTCAACACAAAGCACTAGAGTTATGAAATTAAGAATAAAGGAAGAATCAAGAGAAAAATCCATCTCTTTTGAAAACTAGGATTTTATGACAAGAAAAGAAATCTTATGATTATATAACCATAGCTTTGTTTAAAACATGGTAATGATTGCAAAAATCTCAAGGAATCATGATTTCATAGCATATACATATGATTAAGAGTGAAATAATACATATATACAAGCCCTAAAATCAATGAACAAGAATGGAAGAAAACATCTACCTTGGTGTTCTTGAAAAGCTAGGGTTTTGATCTTCTTGAAGTGGAAATCCCCTTTGATCTTGTGTTTTTCTCTTCCTCTCTAAGGTTTTATAGGGTTAGAGATGTTGAAATGAGGCTAAAGGAGTTGTCCTTAAATATTTATAGTGGAAGGAAAGCCGGCTGTTCGCGACTTAAAAATTCAGATTTTTGGAAAACCTTCCGGAAGGTTTTTCATCGACCTTCCGGAAGGTTTGCCTACTGGACAAACTTTTCCATTATCCTTCCAGACGAACATTACTTTAACCTTCCAGAAGGTTTTCATTGACCTTACGAAAGGTTTTGCCCACTGGATTAGCATTTACCTTAACTTTTCGGAAGGTTTTTCATCGACCTTTCAGAAGGTTTTGCCTGTTTTTCTACAAATCATTCCTTCTTCATTTTCAATCCATTCCACAACCATCCAAAACCATCCCAAACTTATACCACCTACATTTGTACGTCAAACTTAGTTAGTACAAGTTCTATTACAACAATTTCATATATTTACAAGTTAAAACTAAGTTTTAACTACTATTTACTCGAATTTTTTCATATTAACATTTCAAAAGAAATAATTACTTGCTATAGAAACTTATATACATATATAAAGATAAAAGTGTGGGGTTTACATAACTTGACCCGTAGCCCAAGTAGTATATTTGTTTACATACTAAAAAAATTTCTTTTAAGGAGAAAGATGGATCGTTAGTGAACATATTTTAGAAGTTATAGGAGCAAGTTCGATTGCATTTCCTAGCCTGCACAGAGCAGGATGGGATAAGGAAGAAAACGCTCTTACTTTTTACTTAATTCCTTCCCATCACCAAGAAGTGAAAAAGGGAAAACAGAAATGGATGCCAGCAACCATAACATATATAGCAAACACCCCCCCCCCAGCGGGGAGCGGGGCGCCTGGCATGCACTGATGAGTTATCACCACACAGTAGGCGATATAATGACCATAGAGCCGTACCTGCACATTTTTCCTAACATTTAAATCCTCAGAAGGCCCAGTAGCTGAGAGTCTCTGTAATCTCTTCTCTGATTTCTTTAAAAGATTAGTTATCTCTTGGGTAAGAGCCTCTATCCTGCGTTGATCTTCTGTGCCATCTCCAAATGAGGGCATTAATGCCTTGGCTTGAGCCTTGGCTAGCTCAGCAATTTTTGTCCGCACAAGTTGCATATTTGCTGCTATTTCTTCCGATATGTCCACCCAAGTTGAAGGTAGACCCACTGTAAGTGCACCTCCACTACAGCAGGAGAACAATATATGACTCTAACCATAAGTTAAATACATTGATTTTACTGTACTAGAACAAATGCATTTCAAGGAGGTATAGTTGTAAGAAATTGTGAGGAAGTACATCCAATTCTGCATACTAAATGGTAATATGAATGATTTAGTTGTGGCAAGGGAGCCTTTGAATGCCAGGGCAGAGCTAGAAAATCATCCTAGTGGGGGCAATTTTAACAACAATAAGACAAAAATTTGAACTAATCATAAATACAAAAACTTTGGTACCACTTTTTTAAGCACTTTCTTACTTTTTTTGGTTTTTTAAATAGTTATTCAAGCACGGGTTGTTTCTGTATATTTGTTTTTTTCCCTTGTCCGGACTTGCCGTATTCTTCCAAATTTGATGACATGTATAATAAGTACACAAATATACATATAAGTGTATCATTGATATACTAACATTAGTATAGTTCACTTAATGACATATTGATAGATTACGTTTTCACTTTTATGACCAAATTACTTTCACTTTAAAAAGTTACTCAAACAAAAGTTACCCAACAGTAGCTTAAATATTGCTTGGTAGTAACCAATGCATTTACGATTGTTCCAAACCAGTTTTTAGATTTCAAAAAGCATTGCATCATAACTCAGTATCAACACTTTTAAACATGTTTTTCTTAATATATTCAAATTAACAGTGATGATAAAGTGGGGTGATATATTGGGAGGGACAGAATAAAGACCTATAGGATGATTTTATAAAACCATGATGAGCGGATTCAACTAGCTAAATACTAGTTAAGTTTATTTAATTGAGAGTTTACAGATTTAATACAAATAAAAGAGATACTTAGGAACACGTATTGAAAATGTTTTGCACAAAAAACTTAAGCTATTATGCTATGTGGCTCCGCCAATGTTTTCATGTCCCACACAAATGAAATCATACCATTATGTTACTGTAGAATTGAAAATAAAGACCGCGTATTCTACTTGTAGAGTCTGTCGAATCGAAGAAATTGACAAATCTTGAGATTTGAAGTTCCAGGATTTCATTTCCTGTGATTCGTGAAACCAAATGCTTTTTTGAGCCGGAGTTTCCAAGTAGACATAACAGTGTTTTTCACAGACAAAATGAAACAAACAATGAAATTGGAAATAACCCAAGAGTCAGGTGATCAACCTAGTCTCTTTCAAACAAATAGGAGTAAAAAAAAAAAAAAAGCAAAAGAACTAACGAATATGTGGAAAATATAAAGATTGAGGTTATCAAGAACCTACTTAAGAACAAAAGAACTGAAACAAGAAGAAAATGCATCAACCAACCATACAAGAGGAGCACAAATGGTGAAGAATGAACCAACAATGAATGAGCAGCATACTAAGCCAAGAATCTCAAGAGATACTGAAGAGATGAATTTTGTTCGCTGCTTCTTATCTTTTTGGTACTAGTAAAAACATCAATCTTATAGATTCTAGGGTGACTCAGGGGTTAAACTTAAACCAAAGTTTTGACCACAGGGTGAAAAACCCTTGCCAGTCAGTAGGACATCTCTTCACCTTATATAAACAGAACAACCCACAAAACAATTCATAGTTAGGTAACGAAAATGTATCAAAATTGAAATTTCCTTTCCCAGTGTCATAAGCAACATTGGTAGGCACGTCAATAGTAGCCATAAGTGGTGGACAATGACCACCATATGGATTTATGAGGTCTAATATTGACTTGCACATTATGCTTTGCACATGCATAGTTAGTCTGACCAATTTCAAAACTGGTAACCATGCCTGTCAGCACACAGTTCAGTGAGCCAATAAAACTTCAAACTATATCTCTCATCACCATGTTGCTGACAAATCAATAATGTGACTGAGGAGTGTTATTAAACAGAACAGGCAAATAGAGATGCCTAGGTCTCCTAGGGCCTAGGCTCAAGGCATTAGAGCCCCTAGGCAAAACATGAGGGTTATCCTCACAAGATGTATCTTACAGATAATATGTGAAAAATTATAAATTATCCACAGATACAACTAAATATTACAAATCTTAGTAAACTTCAGACAAAAAAAAAAAATGTACAGGTCATCTCAGCAGCAGATATCAATCATATTGTGCAATGAAAATGAAAAGCTAATTGCAGGCAAATCCGGCAAATGACAACAAATATCAATAATATTTTTGGCAAAAGAGAGCTAAATTAAAAAGTATTAGAACCTTTAACAAATTTAAACACAAATATATTAGCGAAGTTTGGTAGAGATTAGGATTAGAATTCAATATTTACTTGGAGTTCTAATCTGGTGATATCACATCAAATATTCAAATCAAACTAAATAATCAATGGCCCAATATATATCATTGAAAAGAAGGGGGGGGGGAGGGGGAACTCACACCTCATGCGCCCCAGGCCTGAGCCCTATGCGAGCGCCTCGTTTGCATTGACTATGCATCAACGAAGTCACCTCGACTCAAGCTTATTAAGACGCTTCAAGTGCATCTCACCTCGCCTCAGGCTTAAGCAACCTCACAACACTAAAATAACTAGAATGCCTTAACATTGTAGACAATGAGGTTAGAGAGGGAACCCATACAAAAGTAAGAACAACTTATTTGGTAAACACAAATATAAGGAGAACATAAGGGTTTTTTTGGCTTTATCTGCACCTGTTTAAATAGAAAAAGATGTAGAAACCAAGTTTGTCAGCGCTTTGTTTCAAAAGTACTTGTTCAATTTTTTATAAGCAGATCTAGAAGTATATATGATATAAGTAAACAAAATATGTTGTCCAAAAACATGTCAAAAGGGTGTTTTCATTCTCATCAGTATCTTTGTATCAAAAATATGAAACAACATAAGGCAACGTGTTCTCGAAATTTTTCTTCAACTCCATTTGTGAAAATAAATACATTTTGGGAACCATATATTTTTAAACCTAAAACAAAGTGGGCCCCAGAGGCATAGAAAGCAGTCATCGATTGTCCTCTAGAGAATCACAAAACCAGGGCAGGAAATGGCTCTAAACTAGCAACAATAGATATGGTTTTTTCTTGTAAAATCCAAAATTTTGGACCAAACATAATGTAACACTGTCAAAACCAGGAGTCCCACCATGACTATGAAACGACTCAAGCCACCAAGCATCCTAGTTTTACACCAAAATAAACATATGCACAACCTACCAATTAGTCTAAATAGAGATTAAAAATAAGACACAAAGATTGGGGAGAGAGATGTAGAGAGGCAAAAATATGACTAGTTGGGAACTTGGGATTTGCGTAAAAATGTGAGTCTCTTTTGCAAAAGGGTTGGAGCTTGTTTTTGGCCTACTTTTGCTTAACTTTAAATCTGACTCAACTTCTAGTAAAGACTGGAGATGCCCTCACAAATACGTAAATAAAACTAATAAAACCTTTCTACACTACCTGAATAAATTTATGGTTAAAAATTTGAATTTATGGTTGGCTACACCAGTGTTATTTAAAGCGAAAGATGCATCAAGACGCCAAGGTCTCCTAGGGCCTAAGCACAAGGCACGGGATTCATCGAACAGAGCCGGATATTGTGGATAATATCTGTAAATTACAAATTAACTCCCAAATATAGTTAATGTAGCAACTTCAGAAAATTCAGGCAAATACACATATAAAACTCATCCAGTAGCATACAACAAATTACACCAAAAAACCTAGCAAAATTAATCACCTTTAGGCATCAAATTTCAAGAAAGTTAGATAATAAAGACAATACTCGGAAAAATATTGTTAGATCTAGGAAAATGTGACCAAAAACTCATTTTTGCTAATTTGAGATGCATACAGCAAATCACATAGTAATTCCTGAAAAAATTAATCAACTTTCAACATCAAGTTTCAGTAAATCTCATCACATATCAATCATATATAGCAAATACAGCTAATTTCAAATTCATTAGCATCATCACCAGTTTCAACATCAAATTTCATTAAAAGTTTATAAAAGTGTTTCCCAAATAAGATAAAAAAATAAGACAAGCCGAGAGAACGGAACATTTTTATACAGCGAGAGGTGAATTTTCTTGGCACCAAATGCTAATTCTACAGTATTAAGGGCTGATTGACCTGAAAGAAAGAGACTTAACTTTTAAAAACATTGGTTGATTTCACCAAAATATAGGTTGGTATCATAGGAAATGAAAGCAAAAGGGGAAAAAAGAAATTTTGGGTGGCAGGCGAAGAGGATCAAAGACGCAGAAAGAGAGAGTGTGATGATAATGAAAAGACAAAGATAGAGATCACTGGTCCCAATTAAATCCTTATACCTGCAATTACATTATACTGGATCTGTGAAATTCTAAGGTACAGTTTACAGTTAGATAAAAATATTTATCTTGGAGCTCTAATATGATGGTATGCATGGGAAATATTCCCATCAATTGTCCAAAATAAATCACTAAAGGGAAAAAAAGACCACGCCTTGAGGCTAGCCAGCGGGGGAGAGAATATTAGTAACGTACCAGATCCACCCTTCCAGTACCCCATATTGGCAAGTGGCAAGATTAGAGATAACTAGGGAGTATGCTTCCTCTCAGCAATTCCATTTTGCTAGGGAGTATAGGGACAGGACTGCAAATGCTGAATACCTGATTTGGACAAAAAACTCTACAAGGTGGTATTGAAATATTTACCTCCATATTAGAGTGAAATCTCTTTTTCTGGAAGATAAAAGATTCTCAACATACACCTTAAATTGAGTAAAAATATTACACTTCTGATTTATGAAGAAGAGGAAAGATCACCTAGTTTTATTATTTATAAAGGAAACATAGTATTGATAACCATGAAGTGATGGTTCAGGAGCTAGACCCCAAACATCACTGTGAATAATCTCTAAAGGATGTAAAGGAACTGTGAGTGAAAGTGTAAAAGTTTGTTTGGTCATTTAGCCATACAAGCAATATTTACAAATACAAGTAGTAGAGTTATGAGATGCAGATGAAGGTGAAATATGTGAGGATGAAAGAATCTGTTGATGATTGGAGGGATGTCCCAATCTCATGCCAGGTTTGTTGAGACACCTTGGTTCCCAGGTTGACCACCATAGGTGAAGAAGGCAGAGATCTTATAGGGTACAATCCATTTTCAGTCTTGCCTTGGTAGAGTATTCTATTTCTCTCCGAAGACTAGTCTTGAATTTGGAAATGAAAGGAATCAAAGATAAATCTACAATTTGTCATCAGCACAGAATTGATGAACAGAAAGAAGGTTAGAGGACAAATCTGGAACATAAACATTTTTTTAGAGAAAAGGAATGTGATTTGGTGTTTAAACAAGTTTGACCTAAATGAACAAATGGCCATTTCCATCTGCATTTGTGTCATGTCCAGTATAAGCTTCAACAAGACTCAAATTAGCTAGATCTGGTGTGAGGTAAGAACTTGCACCCGAATCAAAAAGCCAAATGTCTAATTTCTATGGCATGGAAGACACTTCTGAATTGTAGGATGCTGCTATGGCAACAAGCTGAGGGAGGATTACGACCTTGATAGGAGTAGTTCATTCGGTGGTAGAAATCAATGGTTGAATGACCAACTTTATTGCAGATCTGACATGTAACTCTGCCTTGCTCAGAGTGATTCAATTGATTAGTACTCTTGTTAAGGCCAAATGACACAGTTGTTGCCTGAATATTGATTTGATGGACCAAAAAAAATTATTGATTTGGTTATTGTCGCTACTGCTATAGGTGTTTGATTTACCTCCTCCTCTATTATTTGATCTGCCTCTCCCTCTGTTATTGTTGTAAGAACCTCTACCTCTATTCTGATATGTTCCTTGTGCCTGATTAAAGAACTTTGACTGATAAGTGTCATAGCCATAGGAAGTGACTGAGCTTGACTTAGTTTGTTAGCAGATTCAACAGTGGCCTCTTCAGTTTGTAGTAACACATGAAGTTCGTCGAGCGAAAAACACTGTACTCACTAGGCAAACCATTTAAGGTGTAAATCAGAATATCTTCATCCTCAATGAATGTAGAAACAACAACTAATTTGTCCCTTGTTTCTTTGATTTTCTGAATATAAGAATCTATTGTATCTCCTCCTTTGATGATTGTCTGCAATTTTGACTTTAGTTGGAGCATATTTGCTCAAAAAAGAGAAGTAAACCTTTGTTCCAGAGCTTCCCAGACTTATCTTGTTGTTTTGAATCCAACTACATAAGATAAAGCTGTAGAGAAGAGTGTAGCATTGATTAGAGTAAATAATGCTAGATCTCGAGTTGTTCAAGCTTTAAAATCTAGATTGATCACAGTTGAGATCTGTCCAGTTGAATCACGCACAAACTTCTCTGGACAAATAATGGAGCCATCAACATATCCTAACAATGAATGTGCTCTCAAGATAGCAGAGATCTGGTATTTCCAAGGGATATAATTGGTAGAATCTAATTGTACTTAGATCAAATTGGAAATAATGGAGTGTAACAAGATTGGAGAGTTAGAAATCGATGAAGATGAAGACTCCATTGGTGATCCAATAAGGTCTCACAGAAATGGCTTTGATACCATGATAAAATGAAGACTCATCTCTTATTTCTGAAAATCTCTTCTCAATTTAACAGAATCTGTTACAAGTGGTCCTGCTAGTGATTAATCAGTTACAATTCTGTTACAAGAGTTGCTGCGCTGGTGTGTGAGATCTGTCAACACCTTTAGGTCGTGTTAAACCTCCTTGACTTACTTGCATTATGATGGAGCCAAGCGCACACAGACACACAGGCACGGACATNATTCGAATTTAACTCGAAGCTAATCCAAGATATTTAATATTTTAACATATATTTTTAATATGCTGATTGGGTAGGATAAAAAATTAAAAATATTCCAGCCCCATCGAGAGTGAATTCGTGTCAAACTTGCATTGAACCCCAATTTAAAACAGGCTTCACCTTGAATTGTATAATTCAAGAATCAAATTCAACAATTTAAACAAGGTCCATTTTTCAGGTTGAAAAGTTCATATTGAATTCGGGTTCAAGTTGAACTCAATTTTCAATTGAGATAATGGGACATGAGTACTTTTTACAGAATTTATTTGATTTTAAGTACCATCTCTAAATTTATCTTCCTTTAAATCTTATTTTTTATCAAATAATTATCAATAAGTACACATTTTTAAATTCTTTTTAAAAAGTATTTCATAATTACCCCTACCATAAATAGTGTATACCTAATTGATAATTTTTATATTTTTAATATCTAAATATTAGAATGTGAGATTTTCAAAAAAAAAATTTATATTTATGTTTCATTTGAATTTTAAAATTATATATATATATATACACGCACACGCACATATAAATATATATATATATATATATATATATATATATATATATATATATATATATATATATATATAGAAAATAAAACAGAAGGAAGTTTGAATTTTATCCTACTCATATTTTTCCACCCCAAAACCATCTTATCACACCCATCACCTCCCTCTTAACATTACTATGTACACCTGATACACAGCGTCTAACACCCCTGCACCTATTATCAAACAACTGGCGGCTACAT